TGCCATGAACAAGAATACCGCTCCAGACGTAGCGATAATAATGATCGCCGCTGTTTTAACCGAGATCATTTCATCATCAGCTGCGTCATCAGTGTCGTCGCTATGGTGATGATGGCTATGAGTGGACTGGGACTCGCCCATTTCGTACTCCATGTGATATTGCAGTGAATTTAGGAGATTCTTTAGATTTCTCACTACTGGATTTGCCAGTTGAGCTGATGTTTCATCACTGGTTTCAAAAAGACGCATATTTAGATGATAAAATTATGGACTTTCATGACCGAGACTCGTGTTCCTATCTGCTACGTTTTATTGAGTTATGTGTTTATGGCTAGTATGTACAGAAACGTTAGAAAATACAATTCGTAATGAAGGCGTGACACAACCTATTTGGACAACTTCAATCTAGTAAAAAATGTCAGCAAAAAAAAATAGTTAGTTACAAGATTAGGATTTGTTCATATTTAAAGTAAAAGCTTCCAATGATTACTTGTTACTTGTACTGAGGAATATGCCACATCATGCTTCAGATATCTTCTATTGTGGACACTCCTTGCTCATGAAGTATCGGTTACCGATAGCATAATTGAAAGTCTAAAAATAACAACAGAGCAAAACTTAATTGTATGAACTCGAAAATCGCACAACGGTACAGGTACAGAAAAACCTTAAATTATCAAATTTCATGAAAAGATCGGAAGAAAGGCGTGACGAAGCGTTTGATTGCGACAGAGTAAAAAATAAAAAATGAAAATTTTAAGTCGATTGAACATTCGATTAAAAAAAAGCGATTTTCTAAACAACCATGTTGCATTACGCATACCATTCTCTCCTTTAGCCCTGTTGGACAGGAAGTGTATATATGAATAATTTGTAATTTTTTTGCTGTTATTGTTTTCCTTATACAAAAAGTACAATAGAAGAACTAAGAGTTAACTCGATGAACTTAACACTGTTGGCATTTCAGTTTGAAATTAATTTTTAAATTGAAAGTGCGTGTAGTTTACCCGGGGTGTTTTGAAAATGCTTTGAAAGTCACGAACGATAAAGTATTTCTTGACTTATCGATCGACACTTTCCCGGAGTTTTGTTTTGAAAAACGCCTCATAAAAAACTTAAGTTTTTGAAGGATGAAAGGTTTATAATATATAAGTGTGAATTTTTATGAATTTTTTGACCCCTCTTTTCTACCAAAGAAGTCCTACTTGCAATGTCAACATCTAATGTTTAAACCAATCTGCTGTCGTTTCCGAATACTTTCGATGGTTATGTGCAAGAAGATTGCTGACTGCTCAACGTCGTAATGCAGTTCTATGGGTTGCAATTTAGAAATACTTCTAAAAGCTATTTCCATAAATCGTCATAACTTATCTTTTGTTAAAGACCTCTGGAATATAAACCACAAAATAGTAACCAATGGATATTTTATTCATTCAGTGTCGCATTTTCGATATTTCATTCTTCATTCTATCATGCGCACAAGTAGGAAATAAATTATTGAAAACTAATATTCATTTAACAATAATATTATATTTCTGTATTTCAAGTCGTTCAGAACATTTGGGCAGTTCATTATGACCCAAAATATTGCGAAAACCCGAGAGAATTTCGACCAGAGAGACATTGTCTAGAAGAATAACTTGCATAAATGGATCTTTATATATTTTTAACGGGGATAATACAAAAGTTAAAAGTGTTTCGCACCCTGGCAAGTCCTTTCCTTCATTCAATGACGGCGTGTTCTGCATGGTTATATACGAGCCACCCAGTTTGATGTCGTTTTATTTCGTGATTGAGAAAAATCACCTATATATAATTGTAAGCAATAACATATAAACGGACGAACGGACGAACGGACGAACGGACGAACGGACGAACGGACGAACGGACGAACGGACGAACGGACGAACGGACGAACGGACGAACGGACGAACGGACGAACGGACGAACGGACGAACGGACGAACGGACGAACGGACGAACGGACGAACGGACGAACGGACGAACGGACACACGGACAAACGCACGAACGGACGAACGGACAAACGGACAAACGGACAAACGGACAAACGGACGAACGGACGAACGGACAAACGGACAAACGGACAAACGGACAAATGGACAAACGGACAAACAGACAAACAGACAAACAAATACCTATCAACATACTTACCGATTAAAATTGATAAGTAATGATTTAAATATTACAATACAAAATGTCCTTGTACTTAGGAGATCAGCAAATAAAACATATTATATTTAAAAAATGTACTTTTAACGATATCACTTGACAGAAAATAATTTTCTGTGTAAAAATAAACTTTTACGGGGACTAAAAAAAATTTGTAAAATCAACTTCTATTTATTCGTTTCATTCTTTCTTTTGTAACGCTACCAACAAGACGAAATCGTTTAGCAATTACAACAAAATATCCAAACATAATTTTTTTTTTAATTTATGAATAATTGGGAATCAACTTTCATATAAGAATTTTATAAATTGCCGATAAGAAACTATTTTTATGATTTGTATCGTTATCAAGTAATTTTCTCAGAAAACAATTATCAATGACATAAAAAATGATAACGATGTATAATATTTGTTGTTGAAGTACATGTCATAATTCTTAATTAACAGAAAATTTTTAATAAAACAATATTTCATTTCGTCTCATCACATGGTGTAATAAAATAGGTATGCAATGCCAAACTTAGGTGATCACGCTCTCTCCATAGTATCGACAAAGGTATTAGGGAAAGTTTGTAATATTATTCAAGGATTTGCACGTCTTTTGCGAGAGACAAACTCGAAACAACAGCGTAAATAACCTTTACTATCATTTTAAAATTTTTGGGGTCGGAAAAAAGAACGATTGTATTTTATTTTACTTTTCGCGATTTTTTATTCAGAAAATGCTCCGTACATGAAATCACTGATGGTAATAGGAAGTTGCTGTAATTTGAGAAGACATTCCGGTTTAACCACAGATCTTCGTTTTTGGCGAGGGCACCAAAACCATCAAACAAACTGATATGTGGCATTTAGTAAAGAAGTTAAACAAATTGCGGCAATCATATTTTTGCAGCGTCCGAATAAACATTGGTAACCGCAGACGAGACGAATTTTTTGACAAAACGTGTTCAACATATATATGTCATTCCTTACGTAAGCAAAGTCTACGCGCCAATAAAATGTAAACGATATATATTATGCTTAAGTTGCAAACTTAAAATAAATATTGTTTGTCAAACAGATGTCGCAATACAGTAAAAATTGCAACTAAGATATGCTTTTCTAAAATGTTTCGATATAAAGAGGCGATACTTCAATGTATAGACACGAAGGTCCATCGTATGTCAAAGACAGTGCAATTGGAGTCAGAGTTGGGAGTGATCGTATGTGATAATTTCATCGTTTTCGTCGGAGCCGGGGTCAAATTTTTCAAATTTACCGATTCAGAATTAAAATTTTAAAATTCTTGACATTGCATTATGATCCAGCATTTCAAAGTTTTAATAGTAATAAAGTACACATTTCTAAACAGATGAACACATCATTGAAATTAAAGAGGGCGTTTTATTACCGAAATTTCAATTTTTTGAGAAGTCGCTGAAGTCGTGGTGAAAATTCCTATTGAACTGAAGTCGTGACTAAAATTGGAGTCAAATAAATTTCAATTTGGATTAAAAATTTAAATCGTATATATTCTTTTTGTCAATGAAAATCACAAAATACTTACGCTTTATACAAAAACACCTGGTCAAAGGCACGATACATTTTTGATAAACTAAAACACAGACACATGAAGATTGTAAAGAATAAGACTTCTATTTTATTTGTTGCCCATTAAACAAACTATGTATCTACTGGACTAATTTTAATTCCTTGCTGTAATTTTGTAAAAAAAATTATGAAAATGTAAATTTACAAACCGAGACGATGCGTTTAGCGGGCCAAATGAGGGTCGGTTTAATTAAGTTAGTCCTAAACAGACTGAAAATCAGCAATAGCACTGAAAATGTATAGTTCTAAGAGTAAATAAAATATCAAGCTTCATCACACTATAATCCCGAAAAAGAAATTGGCCAGTAGCCCAGAAATGAAGCACCGTAATCCCTCAATTTTATCATCGCCCTCACGCTAGGTGAGGTAAAAACATATGTAATATGTAACTCGGAATGTATGAATGTACAAGCTTGCTAGTGGGAGAAGGTTAACCTCATTTATTGGTTAAATTTGATGTTCTCTTTGTACATGATTGACGTAGAAAATCTGCAAATGTGCAAAGTTGCCAAAACGTCGAATGGTTGCAATGCCATGTTGTTGTGATTTTGAATTTGAGTAAGCGTATTCATGTGAATAAGTAACATAATCTATGGGACCGTCTTCTATATAAAATGTGACATTTTTCCAGCAAACCCCAGTTGGCTATGACCATAAACTAGAATTCATAGAGCTCTCGAAAGACTAAATGCTGGGGGAAATAATGAATAGCATAGAATTCTCCTATTTATCCGGGGTGAGAGAGAAAACCCCATGAGACAGCTTATTGCTATGAAGTACCACGGCATTTCGTCCAGTGCTTCCAGTTATTCGTCTCCGAAATATGTACATTATTTTATATATCCAACAGTGTCATATTAATCAACCCATTTGGTAAATGCGGACTGTGGACTGTGAAATTGCATAATATCATAAAAGTATTTGCCATAATGTATACCTTCTTAAATAAATACGGCACTGATGTAGCAAACAAATTTTTATACAATATTTTCAGGCTTCCAGTCTTAACTATGCGTTGTATGAAAAACCACTAAAATGTGAAGAAGCGATGCTTCTTACGAAAGGATAGAAGAATCTATTTGAATTGAAATCGACGTACAAATTTATTTTCTTTATTGTTTACATATCGTCTAACATTGTAGCTGTTTGTGAAAAACATTTTTCTAAGCGACATTGCATTAAAATACCCTTTTATTTGCAGAATTTTATTATTTCAAGCTCGTGTAAAATTAAACTTGTTGATATTGTTGAGAGCCTTACAACATGACTGCTTTCGAATATATCGACTATCCAACGGCTTTCTCTGGTGTGGCAGCTTTTATCCTATGCTGCTACTTACAGAAAAGACCAAAGAATTTTCCACCGGGTCCTCATGATCTACCTCTTGTCGGGTATATTCCGTTTTTTGGAAAAAATCCTGCAGAGACTTTAAGACAAATGAAAGTGAAATATGGATCTGTTATGTCTGTTCCATTTGGACGTGAAAATTGGGTAGTTTTGAACGACTTTGACGTCATTCATGAGGTGAGAAAACGTTTAATGATTAATTCAAGATATGTTATAATTGAAGAGCATATTACGGTGTAAAAGAATTATCATTGAAATATAATAAATTTTAATTTATATAATCGTTTTATGAACGATCTCATCAATTGTCTAATAATAGTCCTTCAAAATATAATCCACCAAGGTATTCAGACCAGCAAACCCCCAAAATGCAATCTGCGGCGCAATGCTTAATACTTTCATCACGAAGATTAAATCGACGCGTAATTTGTGCGTTGAGCAGCCTATACCGAATCTCAAAGTCATATTTCGATTTTCTTTTATTTGATTTGCTTACTGAATGTTTACTCAAAAAGGAAACTCATGACCCTTGTAAAATAGTCTAGAATCTAGATAGATATAAACTTTTGTGCAAATCGTTCAAGATTACTTACACTTTTGGATACAATATACACAAACAGAAAGTCATGGCTTGATTAAATTTTCTTCCCTTTTGCGAATAATTAAAAAAATCATGTTTTTTTTCGGGTCACCCTGCTGACTTGAAATAATTCTATTCTTCTGTGACATGTTACATTTGTTCAGGCACTGGTAAAGCAGGGTGAGAAGTTTTCTGGACGACCTCATAACATTGCATACGATCTTATATCCAACGGTGGAAGTTTCTTTAATTTGGATTACGGCCCAACATGGAAAGCTTTACACAAATTTGGCGGGGTTACTTTAAGAGGGTAAGTCCCCAGAAGCAATGAATTAATAATATTATTATTCTCATGTATAAATTAATTTTTGAATTCCCATGCTTCAGTACTTAAATATAGTAGCAGTCACTAGAAGAGTATGGCTCTTTGGTTTGCTAATTCATTTCTGTGCGATATTTCAACCCAAAATAGCATTTTTTTGATAATATGGCTTACCTTCAGTTTAGCCCTTAGATCTGTTTGAATATCCCGGAAATCAGCTAAAATATTACACGCACATATGGCTCAATGGCAGTTTATTTGAATATTTATCCTTTGCTATAATTTTACTGACATAATTTTTTTATAACAGGGCTGGAGTTGGCAAAAAAGAAATGGAGGAAAATATTGTCGAAGAAACAAAGTTTTTGATAGAAACGTTGGCAACACAGAATGGACAGGCATTTCAAGTAAGGTTTTATGCTATTAACCCTAATTACAGGGTGAAAGTTTAAAAGAGTGTTTTTCTCGAAGAACCCCTGTGCAATAGTTGTTTGAAATTGTTATTAACTATGAATATATATGATAGAAACAATGCTTGGTGAATTAAAATGTTTTAAAGTTAAAGTGTAAGACATTTACTAATAGTGGCAAACCTAATAGGTAATGTCATAAAACAAAATCCATATTATTTGAAACATATTTAAGCAGAAAGAAAGTATTTATTCAAGATGTCATAGATTACGGAATTTTTGTGTACGACCACACACAACCAAACATCCGAGTTTACATCCTATGTGTTTTTGACAAAACAATGTTAGTCGCATTATGCATTTTATTTTTTATGATAGGCCAAAATGCAAACGTCGAGGCATTTACCACTTGAGCAGTCATTGATATCGAACGATATTTTTTTTCGATCTTAGGTATTTCTCAATTAGGAATATTAATCACACAATACAGCATTGTGAATAAATACATTATACTATTTTACATATTGATTAATTTGGTCTTTCTTATTTCTTTCAGATGAAATTGACCTCGGCGGTTTCGAATATTATTAGTCGTATAATATTGGGTTCAAGATTTGACTACAACGACGAAATGATGAAACAAATAATTGAAATATTGAGAAAAAAGTAAGATTTATTTTAAATACAAGAGTGCAATGATCAAATATTATCGCACGACATATGCTTAACAGTATCTAGGGATCGATTAAGGAGGAATAAGTAGACCAGAGTTCAAAAATAGACAAGGCAGGAATTTAATCAAAATTACGGGTTTGATTTATTAATGAATGAAAATAAACCTGGCGTGACAGCTCGTATATTGGTTACGAGCTTCTTGTCAGCATTCTGTTCTGTATGAAAAATTACATTTGTCTAACAGAAATAGATCTTTCGGATATTATGACAATACTTGTTCATATCGAGAGTATGGTAAAGTAAATAAAAGTGAAATTATAATAAAAATAACTCCATCAAATGAAAAAGGTATATGTCGATTTTTACCGTTACAAAACAAAGCTGAATATCAAATAATGGAGATGAATATTAGATTGATATGTAAAACCTAAATTACTCCAATTTAAAACTGCAAGCTACACACCTGAAATTCTGGAATATAAAGTAAAGTCAAAAATGAGAAGATACCAGATAAAGGTGATCAATTTTACATCAATTTTGACTCCTTTAATCTTTTTTCAAAATTCACAGCTTTGCAGACACGCCCCATGCGCGTAAGATGGGTACGCTTTCATTGGCTCCTATATTAAGGTTTATCCCTCCATTCCGCAATATTGCAAAGGATACGGCTGATGATGCGGACTTCGTGATTGGTGAGAATTATAGCATTTATTTGTCCATAGTTTAAAAAATATTTTGGCTCATATAGTATAGTGGCAACGTATGCTAATGTGTATCTAGATTCGATTGGATTAATACTTTTTCAGGCGATCTTGTGTAGAGAAGCAATACTTTCCAGGAAAAAAAATTCACAATTTTGAAAGATATTACGATAGGGTGGAAAAAGTTATAAACAATAAATTTGCAGATAATATAAATGAAATTTTTTAAACATTTAATATTTTTTGGAAAAGTTATTTTTGAACGATTATTCCCCTATTTGCTCTGATTATAAGTTTACAAAAATTTTGAACTAGAAATTTGAAAATAAAAATTTCTTTAGAAAAATCTTTTTTTTTTTTATTTCTGTCATTATAAGAGATCTTTTCATGTCATTGGCTCCAAGCAATGACCTGTAAAGGAATCACTGATATCAAACGACATGTAATTACTAAACCTTTCTCCAGAAAAATAGATACTACAAAGTATTTAAATTTTGATACGTTTATTATGTAAAATCAATATCTAACAATACCTAATGCAAAATGAATAAAAATTTAATATAAAAAACTTTGATGAAAAAACAATTGACCTAAGTAGTTTCAGTCCACCAATGGGTCGAGTAACACTGAAATGATACCATCCAAGTGATGTTGGAAATATCTGAACAGAGATATGTAATCTGCAATAACAACATATAGACAAATCTAACGCTTCAGCACTAGGCTAAAATTATGGCCCAACTCTAACCTGATACACATACTGCGTTCCGGTTTCCGCCTTCTTGGATCACCTGCAATTAGGGCCTAACTCTAACCTGGTCCACATAATGAGTTTCAATTTCCGCCATCTTGGTTCACATACTTCGGGAGTACTACCGTATCTATTATATATTTGATAATAATAATTCTTAAATTGACATGTTTCTTGAATTTGTTCCTAGAATACATACGTGATATTATCAACGAACACGAAGCGAAACTTGACGAGCTGGACATCCGAGACGTCATTGATGCGTTTCTCATTGAGATTAAAAAAAGTCATAAAGATGACAGTGCTTTTAATGTGAGCTTTTTAATATGTTGAGAAATCCTTCCACCTTCCATATATTTTATTCGAGTACATTCTATTTGTATTATATTTTTTCTCCAAATTTATTTGCAGAAAAAACAACTCATCTATTTTGTTCGAGATCTGTTCAACGCCGGAACAACAACCACAAGCAGCACATTGACATGGGCTTTGTTAGCTTTTGCGCATTATCCCAAGTATCAAGAAAAAATTGCGGAAGAAATTCTGGAAACTTTGGGTAAGAGTGTAAATTTTGCAGTGTTTTAATACAGGCTTCTGCTTTACTTAAAATAATAGTTAAAAAACTGAGTTTTAAACATATGTTAGAATAGATCACATTTTGATTTTGAGAAAAGAAATTGAAATAAAAAAATCAAACCTAATGTAAACTTAATCAGGTTTCTTTCAAAAGTGCAAAAAACTTGATTGAACCAATTTGTTAATAGATTTGGTCTTATTAGATCAAAATAGGAGTATTTCGGAAAGAATGTACCTGAATATAAGTTTTGAAAAAAATGTATTTGGGTCGAAACACAAAATTTCGAATATGGAATTGGTGCAATTTAGCAAGTTAATTATTTACAAGAAAATGGATAAATAGTTTCATGACTTATACTCATTAAATAAAAAGTAAATAAAATTAAATTAAATAAATTAAATTTTAATCTTAAAACATATAGCATGATTATTCCGATTAACAACTTGATTCAGAATTTATAAACTCGTATATACTACATTAATCTGCAAATTCCGAACTGAAACGAAATTTTGAAGTTTCTTTCCCTTTTTTGCTGTTTACGTTCAGACATTTGACATACTTTTAAAAATACAGCAATTTTACCTTCGTTTTTATTTTGTTGTGCTATTTTGCAGGCGAGGACGGAGTTACATCAATGAAACATCGAAATGAAATGCCATTTACTTGTGCTTTCATACAAGAACTAATGAGACATAGATTGTTGGCCCCATTGAGCTTGCTTCACAAGACCACCGAAGAAGCGACTCTGAATGGATACACTATTCCAAAAGACACAAACGTAAGTTTGCTAATGAATAGAATTTGTTATTCCTGTATTTAAAATTGCATGATTTTCAGCTTAAACCAGACATGCAGTTACTATATAGTTGTACTACAAAAAGGGGCGATTCAGAATCCACAAAGGGATCGTGTTCGAGTCCTAGTTTTCTATTGATATAAAACATGTTTTGACTGGATACACGCTCATAATTGCACGTAGATATCATAATTAGAATAGCTGCATTAATTAGAATCTTTCAATTAACGTGCCCACTAGGGATTTTCAGTTTTTTTGCGACGCGATGACGTCGTGTTTGAAGCGTTGAAATTAACTTTTTTTCCATAGCAGATTATTTATCACTGTTGGAAATTCTTTACCCTCTTACCTCACACTGGATGTAATAATCAATGAATCGTTAGATATCGGTTTCCGTTCAAACGAAAGTGCTGGTTATTGAAAATTGTAATCACATGCGATTATTTGTGCCACACCTTTTATTTAAAGGCAAGATTGCATTTCAAAACCGTTTGTTTATTTGTTGAAGACTATGTTCAGCTTTATAATTCAACTTCCGCCAAACGCAACTTCAAATGTAACTTTAAAACATATTCAGCCATTGACGTATGCGAATAAAAGCCAAATAAACTCTGTATAGGCGTACATTATATGTGTAGTGCATAAATTCCATGAATAGTATCGAAAGTTCAACAAACCATAAGAAAACTTGCTTACAATAGTTTAACCGACTAATCAGTTTATCATTGTGCAAATAACTGATCACCTGATCTAACATGAGCAAAATTAATTTGTCAGTATTGGAAAGACTATCTGCCTTCTTACAATCGTTGTAGTTAATTAAATTTACGTTTGTGTTAGAGCAGGCATTTGGCCGCATCAAATGTGCGAAACATCTAATACCAAATAATTTTGACGACATTAAGCATAATATATAAATATCAATATTTATGCTTTATTCAAATATTTTTTCAGGTCGCTCCAAATCTTTGGGCAGTTCATTTTGACCCGAAACACTTCGAAAACCCGGAAGAATTTCAACCTGAGAGATTTCTCGACCATGACGGAAAATTCATCAAATCAAATCACGTAATCCCGTTTTCAATCGGTCCTCGACACTGCATTGGCGAACAACTTGCAAGGATGGAAATTTTCATTTTTCTGACCGGAATCATACAAAAGCTTAAAGTGGTGCCCGATCAAGAAAAACCGCTACCATCTTTTTTTAGTGGTGGGTGCGGCATTATATCATACGAACCCCCAACGTTTGATGTTATTTTCGAACACCGCTAAATGTTTTTTTTTTTAATTTCCTTAATACAGATCAAGTTTACATCGTTATTTTATGAACGAATTTCTTATTCTCCTGAAAAAAGCGGATATCATCACGATGAAAGTTAATAGTTATATTTTTTGTTAATTTGTTTTGATAGAAAATAACCCTTTGATACATTATAGTTTGTCAAAAATAAACCACTGTGTATTTATTATAAATAACTTTTTCGATTACAAGAAAAGATTTGCCAATATATATAAAAAACAGAAACATCACATAGAGTCGCATAACTTAAACTTGACCTCATATTTGCAAAAATTTAAACGCATTCAGTGTGTAAAATTAAAAAGATCATAAGTTATAATTAGTTGTAATATCATTTACCAATAAGTTTGGATTGTTCATAAAAACGGTTTGTCCCAATTGTTTTTTTTCTGCCCAGTTTCTTTGCATGACAGAGTTACAGATTTTAAATATATACTCATATATAATTCATGAAGATGCCTTACTTATGTGGCTAGCGATTTTCGGCAGTAACAACTTTTTTGTAATGTTTTTTTGTTTTGATGCAAACTGGTTCAAATTCTCGCAAGAAAAATTTTCAATGAATCACGATGTTATTTTGTTATCACGAAGCCGCAATCAAACAAAAATAAACAATTTTTTATTCATATTTCGTAATAAGTGGCATTTGGCTTCATATTGCTTGATTTTAGTTTAACAGCATTGATTATAAATAATGTTTTATTACAATTTTATGTGTGTATATATATATTACATCATAATATTTGTATTCGTTGTTTGCCAAATATATATAAATATTAAAATACACATATGATTGTTCATCAAATTAGAGGTAGCTATAGTACGCGACTTTGTTTTGAATTGGCACTAGACGGGCACTTGCTTAACGTATGTAGGCGAGAATTTGAGATTTCGCTATACTAAACTTGAAAGGAAAAAAGCTGAGGGCAGTGTTACCCCCAGAAAGAACCGATGATATTTTTGGGCTTGTGGGATCTGTAAAATTACATATGAACAGTCTTACTGGACATGAAGCGGGCGTATAAATCGTTTCGTCATTATGTTGTTGTTGTTTTTTACTCGTTGTTGTGAAAAAAATCGCCTTTCTCGCTTTCACATTTTACTAGTCGGCGGTTCTTAGTATAGTTTCCCAGCTTATTATAGCAAATTTTCCATTCTAATTAGAAACCCTGCCCTAGTTATTAGTTAGATGACAACAAATTTCAAACGACCACAGGTTGCGCTGTCAAAGACTGTTACTCGCAGTGGGAACCACATTTAGGAATTCTCATCAGCCAAAGTTTTCTAAGTTGTCCAATTTCTACGTTCTTACTAAAATTCTTTAAATGCTGCTCTATACAAGCTCTATACGAAGTTTAGCAAAATTTGAAATAGAAAGGTCACCATAATAAAAACCGATAAAACTAATAAAACTTGTTATCCGGGGAATCCTTCCTCCTATGATCTACTTTACGTCATACGCACTTTTCTGGCACGGTGGATCGTCATTATATAAACATTTATTTTTGTTTTTTAAATATTTGAATTTTTCAATAAAACAAAAATTGCACATAATTTAATGTAATTTATGCATAGATAGATGTAAATAAAAAGGTAGTATAATTTCAAATATTTAAAATGTTGTAATTGATTTAAAAACTTTTGCATAGATGAATCGGCTTTACAAATTTATTCCCTTTAATGAGAAGGCGTAGTCAGTCGTAATGAAAATATACGTTTTTTTGAAGATGTGTTTGAGGTAGTCCAACAAAAGTAAAACTACGGAAACCAACACCTTACCCATCTCCATTACGAGAATGATCCATTACGAGAAATGTTAGTAAAAACTGAGTTGTGCTAGTCACTACATGCAAAACTAATTGAGAGATTAGCATATTATTCCTCCTACTGCCTACTTCTTTACCCTACTTAGACAATTCATTGTTATTTTATTACTGACCGTGGATTAGGCATTTATCAAAATAATTATGCAATCTTCCCCAAAATCTCCCTCGCAAAGATCAATAATAAAAAATATTAGTAATTATTTGGAACAAGAATACCGCTCCAGACGTAGCGATAATAATGTTCGCCGCTGTTTTAACCGAGATCATTTCATCATCAGCTGCGTCATAAGTGTCGTTGCTATGGTGATGATGGCTATGAGGGGACTGGGACTCGCCCATTTCGTACTCCATGTGATATTGCAGTGAATTTAGGAGATTCTTCAGATTTTTCACTACTGGATTTGCCAGTTGAGCTGATGTTTCATCACTGGTTTCGAAAAGACGCATATCTAGATGATAAAATTATAGACTTTCATGACCGAGACTCGTGTTCCTATCTGCTACGTTTTATTGAGTTATGTGTTTATGGCTAGTATGTACATAAACGTTAGAGAATACAATTCGTAATGAAGGTGTGACACAACCTATTTGGACAACTCTCAATCTAGTAAAAAATGTCAGCAAAAAAAATAGTTAGTTACAAGATTAGAATTTGTTCATATTTAAAGTAAAAGCTTCCAATGATTACTTGTTACTTGTACTGAGGAATATGCCACATCATGCTTCAGATATCTTCTATTGTGGTCACTCCTTTCTCATGAAGTATCGGTTACCGATAGCATAATTGAAAATCTAAAAATAACAACAGAGCAAAACTTAATTGTATGAACTCGAAAATCGCACATCGGTACAGGTACAGAAAAACCTTAAATTATCAAATTTCATGAAAAGATCGGAAGAAAGGCGTGACGAAGCGTTTGATTGCGACAGAGTTAAAAATAAAAAATAAAAATTTTAGGTCGATTGAACATTCAATTAAAACAAAAGCGTTTTTTTAAAAAACCATGTTGCATTACACATACCATTCTCTCCTTAAGCCCTGTTGGACAGGAAGTGTATATATGAATAATTTGTAATTTTTTCGCTGTTATTGTTTTCCTTGTACAAAAAGTAATGGAAGAACAAATTTTTATTTCGTCATACTTTACCGTCTCTGTCAATCACACGTTTCTGTCTCGATTTATATTTATATTTCAGCATTTCAATGGTCATCATTTAATTTTATCCAATTTCAATTTTTTATAGTACTATTTTTATTATTATTCTTTCAGTACCGTCTCAATGGAACATCGAGATGAAATGTCCTACACTTGTGCCTCCATACAAGAACTGATGAGACATCAGATGCTGTTCCCACTAAGTGCCTTTCATAAAACGAACGAAAATGCGACACTGAATGAATAAAATATCCATTGGTTACTATTTTGTGGTTTATATTCCAGAGGTCTTTAACAAAAGATAAGTTCTGACGATTTATGGAAATAGCTTTTAGAGGTATTTTTAAATTGCAACCCATAGAACTGCATTACGACGTTGAGCAGTCAGCAATCTTCTTGCACATAACCATCGAAAGTATTCGGAAACGACAGCAAATTGGTTTAAACATTAGATTTTGACATTGCAAGTAGGACTTCTTTGGTAGAAAAGAGGGGTCAAAAAATTCATAAAAATTCACACTTATATATTATAAACCTTCCATCCTCTCAAAAATAAAAACTTAAGTATATTATGAGGCGTTTTTCAAAACAAAACTCCGGGAAAGTGTCGATCGATAAGTCAAGAAATACTATATCGTTCGTGACTTTCAAAGCATTTTCAAAACACCCCGGGTAAACTACACGCACCTTCAATTTAAAAATTAATTTCAAACTGAATTGCCAACAGGGTTAAGTTCGTCGAATTAACTCTTAGTTTAACTTCATACTATCATGCGCACAAGTAGGAAATAAATTATTGAAAATTAATATTTATTTAGCAATAATCTTATATTTCTGTATTTCAAGTCGTTCCGAACATTTGGGCAGTTCATTATGACCCAAAATATTGCGAAAATCCGAGAGAATTTCGACCAGAGAGAAATTTCGAACAGACGAACAGACGAACAGACGAACAGAAGAACAGACGAACAGACAAACAGACGAACAGACGAACAGACGAACAGACGAAAAGACGAACAGACGAACAGACGAACAGACGAACAGACGAACAGACGAACAGACGAACAGACGAACAGACGAACAGACGAACAGACGAACAGACGAACAGACGAACAGACGAACAGAATCGCTAACAGACAAACAGACAAACAGACGAACAGACGAACAGACGAACAGACGAACAGACGAACAGACGAACAGACGAACAGACGAACAGACGAACAGACGAACAGACGAACAGACGAACAGACGAACAGACGAACAGACGAACAGACGAACAGACGAACAGACGAACAGACGAACAGACGAACAGACGAACAGACGAACAGACGAACAGACGAACAGACGAACAGACGAACAGACGAACAGACGAACAGACGAACAGACGAACAGACGAACAGACGAACAGACGAACAGACGAACAGACGAACAGACGAACAGACGAACAGACGAACAGACGAACAGACGAACAGACGAACAGACGAACAGACGAACAGACGAACAGACAAACAAATACCTATCAACATACTTACCAATCAAAATTGATAAGTAATGATTTAATTATTACAATACAAAATGTCCTTGTACATAGGAAATCAGCAAATAAAACATATTATATTTAAAAAATGTACTTTTAACGATAGCACTTGACAAAAAATAATTTTCTGTGTAAAAATGAACTTTTACGGGGACTAAAAAAAATTTGTAAAATTAACTTCCATTTATTCGTTTCATTCTTTCTTTTGTAACGCTACCAACAAGACGAAATCGTTTAGCAATTACGACAAAATATCCAAACATAATTTTTTTTTTAATTCATGAATAATTAGGAATCAACTTTCATATAAGAATTTTATAAATTGCCGATAAGAAACTATTTTTATGATTTGTATCGTTATCAAGTAATTTTCTCAGAAAACAGTTGACATCAATGACATAAGAAATGATAACGATGTATAATATTTGTCTTTGAAGTACATGTCATAATTCTTAATTAAAAGAAAATTTTTAATAAAACAATATTTCATTTCGTCTCATCACATGATGTAATAAAATAGGTATGCAATGCCAAACTTGAGTTATCACGCTCTCTCCATAGTATCGACAAAGGTATTAGTGAAAGTTTGTAATAATATTCAACGATTTGCATGTCTTTTGCAAGAGACAAACTCGAAACAACAGCGTAAATCACCTTTACTATTATTTTAAAATTTTTGGGGTTTGGAGGAAAGAACGATTGTATTTTAATTTACTTTTCGCGATTTTCTCCGTACATGAAATCACTGATGGTAATAGGAAGTTGCTGTAATTTGAGAAGACATTCCGGTTTAACCACAGATCTTCGTTTTTGGCGAGGGCACCAAAACCATCGAAAAAACTAATATGTGGCATTTAGTAAAGAAGTTAAACAAAATGCGGCAATCATATTTTTGCAGCGTCCGAATAAATATTGGTAACCGCAGACGAGACGGATTTTTTGACAAACCGTGTTCTACATATATATGTCATTACTTACGTAAGCAAAGTCTACGCGCCAATAAAATGTAAACGATATATATTATGCTTACGTTGCAAACCTAAAATAAATATTGTTTGTCAAACAGATGTCGCAATACAGTAAAAATTGCAACTAAGATATGCTTTTCTAAAATGTTTCGATATATAGAGGCGATAGATACTTCAATGTATAGACACGAAAGTCCATCGTCTGTCTATGACAGTGCAGTTGGAGTCAGACCGGTAGTGGGAGTGATCGTATGTGATAATTTCATCGTTTTCGTCGGAGCCGGGGTCAAATTTTCCAAATTTACCGATTCAGAATTAAAATTTTAAAATTCTTGACATTGCATTATGATCCAGCATTTCAAAGTTTTAATAGTAATAAAGTACACATTTCTAAACAGATGAACACATCATTGAAATTAAAGAAGGCGTTTTATTACCGAAATTTCAATTTTTTGAGAAGTCGCTGAAGTCGTGGTAAAAATTCCTATTGAACTGAAGTCGTGACTAAAATCGGAGTCAAATAAATTTCAATTTGGATTAAAATTTAAATCGTATATATTCTTTTTGTCAATGAAAATCAAAAATATTACGCTTTAATACAAAAACACCTGGTCAAAGGCACGATACATTTTTGATAACTAAACACAGACAATGAAGATTGTAAAGAATAAGACTTCTATTTTATTTGTTGCCCATGAAACAAACTATGTATCTACTAGACTAATTTTAATTTCTTGCTGTAATTTTGTAAAAAAAATTATGAAAATGTAAATTTACAAACCGAGACGATGCGTTTAGCGGACCAAATGTGGGTCGGTTTAATTAAGTCAGTCCTAAACAGACTGAAAATCAGCACTAGCACTGAAAATGTATAGTTGTAAGAGTAAAAAAGAAAAAGAAAAAGCTTCATCACACTATAATCCCGAAAAAGTAATTGGCCAGTAGCCCAGGAATGAAGCACCGTAATCCCTCAATTTTATCATCGCCCTCACGCTAGGTGAGGTAAAAACATATGTAATATGTAACTCGGAATGTATGAATGTACAAGCTTGCTAGTGGGAGAAGGTTAACCTCGTTTATTGGTTAAATTTGGTGTTCTCTTTGTACATGATTGACGTAGAAAATCTGCGAATGTGCAAAGTTGCCAAAACGTCGAATGGTTGCAATGCCATGTTGTTGTGATTTTGAATGTGAGTAAGCGTATTCAGGTGACTAAGTAACATAATATTTGGGACCCGTCTTCTATATAAAATGTGACATTTTTTCGACAAACCCCAGTTGGCTATGACCATAAACTAGAATTCATAGAGCTCTCAAAAGCCTAAATGCCGGAGGAAATGTTGGATAGCATAGAATTCTCCTATTTATCCATGGTGAGAAAGAAAACCCCATAAGACAGCTTATTGGTATGACGTACCACTGCATTTCGTCCAGTGCATCCAGTTATTCGTCTAATTAACTTATTTGGTAAATGCGGACTGTGGACTTCGAAGAAATTGCATAATATCACAAAAATAATTACCACAAGGTATTCTTTCTTAAATAAATACGGCACTGATGTAGCAAACAAATGTTTATACATTACTTTCAGGCTTCTATTCCTAACTATGCTTTGTATAAAAAAAACGCTAGAAGCGAAGCTCTTTACGAAAGGATAGAAAAATTTTTTGGAATTGAAATCGCCTTACAACTTTATTTCCTTTATTGCCTACATATCGTCTAACATTGTAGCTGTTAGTGAAAAACATTTTTCTAAGCGACATTGCATTAAAACACCGTTTTATTTGCAGAATTTGATTATTTCAAGCTCGTGTAAAATTAAACTCGTTGATATTGTTGAGAAGCCTTACAACATGACTGCTTTCGAATATATCGACTATCCAACGGTTTTCTCTGGTGTGGCAGCGTTTATGCTATGCTGCTACTTACAGAAAAGACCAAAGAATTTTCCACCGGGTCCTCAAGGTCTCCCTCTTGTCGGGTATCTTCCGTTTTTTGGAAAAAATCCTGCGGAGACTTTAAGACAAATGAAAGAGAAATATGGATCTGTTATGTCTGTTCCATTTGGACGTGAAAATTGGGTAGTTTTGAACGACTTTGACGTCATTCATGAGGTGAGAAAACGTTTAATGATTAATTCAAGATATGTTATAATTGAAGAGCATATAACGGTGTAAACGAATTATCATTTAAATTTGATAAATTTTAATCTATATAATCGTTTTATGAACGATCTCATCGATTGTCTAATAATTGTCCTTCAAAATATAATCCACCAAGGTATTCAGACCAGCAAACCCCCAAAATGCAATCTGCGGCGCAATGCTTCATACTTTCATCACGAAGATTAAATCGACGCGTAATTTGTGCGTTGAGCAGCCTATACCGAATCTCGAAGCCATATTTCGATTTTCTTTTATTTGATTTGCTTACTGAATGTTTACTCAAAAAGGAAACTCATGACACTTGTAAAATATTCTAGAATCTAGATAGATAATAACTTTTGTGCAAATCGTTCAAGATTACTTAAACTTTTGGATACAATATACACAAACAGAAAGTCATGGCTTGATTAAATTTTCTTCACTTTTACGAATAATCAAGAAAATCATGTTTTTTTGTCGGGTCACCGTGCTGACTTGAAATAATTCTATTCTTCTGTGACTTGTTATATTTGTTCAGGCACTGGTAAAGCAGGGTGAGAAGTTTTCTGGACGACCTCATAACATTGCATACGATCTTATATCCAACGGTGGAAGTTTCTTTAATTTGGATTACGGCCCAACATGGAAAGCTTTGCACAAATTTGGTGGGGTGACTTTAAGAGGGTGAGTTATCAGTGACAATGAGTTATTAATATTATTATAATGTATCAAATATTTTCATATTTTCCACTCTTCAGCACTTAGTTGGTAGTAGCTAACAGTCACTAAAAGAGTATTGTTTTTTAATTTTCTAATTATTTTCTGTGCGATATTTCACCCCAATGTTTTGTTATTATTCCTTTAGGATGGATAGCCCGGAGATCTGGTTGAATACTCGATATGGTACTCAGCTAAAATCTTACCGGCTCATATGGCGCAATGGCTTTTTATTTGAACATTGCTTATTTGTTATAATTTCGATAATATGTTAAAATTATTTTATAATAGGGCTGGAGTAGGCAAAAAAGAAATGGAAGAAAATATTGTCGAAGAAACGAAGTTTTTGATAGAAACTTTGGCAACACAGAGTGGACAGGCATTTCAAGTAATTTTCATAATGTTTGTTGAAATTTTTGTCGAACATTTGTTCAACATTTTTGTTGAAAGTTGAACTCCAATGAAACATACCAGGGGCTTCGAGAAACCCATGTGCAATAGTTTGATCGTCTGAATTGTATAAGCTATGAATTATATGGAAGGAAACCCAATACTGGCAAAATAAAATGATATTAAAATTGTAGCATATTTAATAGTAATGGCAAACCTCTAAAAGATATTTGATCAGATTCAAACATTATATATAATAATATAGACTTTTGGATTCGAATTAAACATTGTAGTCTGTATAGGAGGAATCCTAGTGTGCCGCAGAACCCCTTGTTTAAAACCAGTAACATAAAACATAACCCATGTTATTTGAAACATATTTTATCGGGAACATAGTTTTTGTTCAAGATGTCATAGATTACGGAACTAGTTTGTGCCACCGTACACAAAAAAACATCCAAGTGTTCCTTTTTTGTGTTTTTCACAAATCAAAGTTAGGCGTATTGTGGAAATACCAAAATCTAGTCATATTTTTAGTTAGTAATACGACGCCTATTCACGCCCTTCGCCGCCCAGAAAAAAACGTTACCACTTGAGCAGTCACTGATATCTTACAATATTTAAGTAGGCTGGCTGATTAAAACACACCATATTTAGTAAGAGTAACGGAATTGTATTGTGTCCATATATTTTCAGTATGCTAATTTATTCGAAGATCTCAAGATTTTGTTTTAGATCTTTAGCATTTCACATCGAATGCATTTCATGAAGGACCAATCTTAATCACACAATACAGAATTAAAAGTTCAAAAATTGTACTATTTCACAGAGTTTGATTTGGTCATCCTTATTTCTTTCAGATGAAATTGACTTCGGCAGTATCGAATATTATTAGTCGGATAATATTAGGTTCAAGATTTGACTACAACGACAAAATGTTGAAACATATAATTGAAATGATGAAAAGAAAGTAAGTTTTATTTTAAATACAAAGGAGCAAAGCTTAAATATATACACAGGACTTTTGCTTAACACTAGCTAAAAACCATTATTAATTAGGATACTTTTTATGCGTAGTTAGGGAGGAATAAAGCTTTTCAAAACGGAAATTTGTTAAAACAACTTGGGACACACCGGGTTAAACTGGAAAACGAATCTGGTACTACAGCCTACATATCTCCGATATAAGCTCCATCAATTTTAAGTAATTTTGAACATTTGTAATCTTTTCTAAATTCACAGCTTTGAAGATACGCCCCATTCTCGTTTAATGGGAACGCTAACAATGGCTCCTATATTGAGGTTTATCCCTCCATTCCGCAATACTGCAAAAGTTACGGCTGATGATGCGGAATGCTTACTTGGTGAGAATAATTGCCTATATTTGTCAAAATCTTCAGGGTTTTATCAGGTAGTATTGCGGCAGCGTGTCTTTTTATTTGCTTGTTTTAACCCAAACTTGTGCAGATAAGCAATAAAAAATTATAGGATACATTTAGGATACATTTACAGAGAAATAAAAAATTTTAGAAAAGTTTTTATTTTCCTTTTTTTTCTTCTTTCCACGACGTTAGAACTGGAAAATTTAAAAATGAAAATAAATATTTCACGAAGAGAATCTTTTTTCATTCATCACTCCTAGTATAAGAGCCAGTGGCACTGATCATACAAATGCCCCACTGATATCCAACGACATGTAATATTAACCAACTTTTTTCAAGCAACCAAAATTTTCCGAAAACTTGAGTTTGATGTAGTGCTTTCATGGCGAAAAACTACATATACCAAACAATCATTTTTACATGAGAGTCATTTTGACAGAAATTACTTCAGAGTGAGACTAGTGCGCGTGTTTGCCATCAGCGACTTTTCGAAATTGTGGTGTATCTTTACTTTAAGCAAAATATAGTCTACCAAGATTTAATTTCTTGAATTACTTCCTACATGTACAAATAATACCGAGCGATGCTCCAATATCAAATGCAAAAAAAAAACGAAAATTTACCCCGAAAAGGAAAAAATTGAATGTTTTTCTGGAAACAACAAGCGAACCAAGAGTAGTTTCAGTCCATCAACAGGTCGGGTAACACGGAAATTATATCATCCTAAGTGCGTTTGGGAAAATCTGAACCTAGATATGTAACATACAATGCTAACATATAGTTAAATCTAACGCTTCATCCACTAGGCAATCGTATCGGTGATCCCGAAGTATGTGAACCAAGATGGCAAACACCGAAACGTAGTATGTGTACCATGTTAGGGTTATGCCATAATTTTATTTCAATTTTCCGCATTTTAGTTCTATTACGTGTTCGGGGACTAGCCAAGTGAATTCCACAGCATTTGTACCTAAAATTATGGCCTAATCCTAACCTGGTACACATACTACTTTCCGGTGTCCGACATCTTGGTTCACATACTTCGGGAGTACCATCGTATCTATTATATATTTGCTAATAATAATCTTGAAATTAACATGTATCTTGAATTGGTTTCTAGGATATGTGCGTGATTTTATAAAGGAACACGAGGCGAAACTTGACGAACTGGACATCCGAGACTTTACTGATGCGTTTCTCAGTGAGATAAAGAAAAGTCATAAAGATGACAGTGCTTTTAATGTAAGCATAGTTTATCAATAGCCGCGCACTAATTCACTGAATTTGAAACCCAATATTTAATATACACGAAATGATCACATAGATCTTGTTGTCAATAGGTCTCTGTGGTTGGTATTTTTACAGTATTTTCTTAATCATATGAAAAACACAATCTCCCAGGCTTGTTACACCACCATGTCGCTTTTTAGTTTATAAAATTATTTATTATTATTTATATTCATGAACTTTTGGAAAAAAAAATATAATATTATAAGCTTAAATATATTGTCTCTCACATTATATTTTTAGAAAAAGCAACTCATCTATTTCGTTCGCGATCTGTTCAACGCCGGAACAACAACCACAAGCAGCACATTAACCTGGGCTTTGTTAGCTCTTGCGCATTACCCCAAGTATCAAGAAAAAATTGCGGAGGAAATCCAGGAAACTTTGGGTATAAAGTAGATTTTTTTCATCAATTTTTTTTATACATGCTGCTTCACTGGGATATAATTGTCAAATAACTGCGTTTTTACATTGAATGTTAAGGCAGATAACTTTTTGATCTTGAACAACAAAATTACAGAACAAATCGAACCTAATGTATACTTAGTCATATTTCTATCGAAAAAGAAATAAATATGCCCAACAAAAGTTGAAATACCAAATTATCCAAATAGATTTATTCTTAATTGAAAAAGATTAAATAGGGGCTTTTCAAAAAATAATTCATAATAATATTCATTCAATTCTTTTCAAAATATAATTTATTAAAATGAGTTTTCTGAGTTTTTGCGACAGCTCACTTTTGGCCTCAAAACTAAAAAAAAATTATCCTCGAAACATACTGCATGCTTATTTCGATAAATAATTATGTTCAGAATATATAAATTTGTATATGCTCCATTAATATACAAATATCGTAGTGGGACAGAATCTTGAAATCTGGGACAAAATCTTCCGTTTTGCTGTTCACGTTTAGTACTGACATTTGACAAACTTTTAAAAATACAGCAATTTTACCATCGTTTTTATTGTGTTTTGCCTTTTTGCAGGCGAGGACGGTATTACGTCAATGAAACATCGAAATGAAATGCCATTTACTTGTGCTTTCATACAAGAACTAATGCGGCATAGATTGTTGGCCCCATTGAGCGTGCTTCACAAGACCACCGAAGAAGCGACTTTGAATGGATACACTATCCCGAAAGACACGAACGTAAGTTGGCTAATGAATAGATTTTGTTATTCCGGTATTTGTAAATCATGATTTTTAGTTTGAACAAGACTTAAAGACAGGGAGCTATTTACTATACGTTGTTACTATACAAAGAGGGACGATGCAGATCTACAAAGAGCTCGTGTTCATGTCCTAGTTTTGAATTGACATGAAACATGTTTTGGCAGTATACATGATAATGATGCACGTAGTCAAAGAGGACAATCTGCATTCCATCAATTAGAATATTTAAACTATAACGTGCCTAATTAGAAACTTCAGTTTTGCCTAAGCTTTAGAATTGACTTTGTTGGCATAGCAGATAATTTATTACTGTTTGAAATTTTCTAGCCTTCACCGAACCCACATTTGTGCTTGAACGGATATTTGGCCGCATCAAAAGTGTGAAACACCTAATAACAAAAATAACCGTTGGAATATTTATCAAAAAATATGGCACCTACAAATTTGAAATAGATAAAAAAAAAACACATTATTAAAGCTTTATTCGAATATTTTTCAGATCGCTCCAAATCTCTGGGCAGTCCATTTTGACCCCGAACACTTCGAAAACCCGGAAGAATTTCGACCTGAAAGATTTCTTGACCGCGACGGAACATTTATCAAATCAAATCACGTGATCCCGTTTTCAATCGGTCCTCGACACTGTATTGGCGAACAACTTGCAAGGATGGAAATTTTCATTTTTCTGACCGGAATAATACAAAAGCTTAAGGTGGTGCCCGATCCAGAAAAACCACTACCATCTTTCTTTGGTGGGGGGCACGGCGTTGTATCATACGATCCTCCACCGTTTGATGCTCTTTTTGAACGCCGCTAAATGTTTTTGTTAAATCCACAGGTCAAGTTTACATCGTTACTTTATGATAGAAAATAGTAATTTCTAATTCTCCTAAAACAAAAGCGGATATCATCACGATGAAAGTTGATAGTTACATTTTTTTAGCATGTTTCGATAGAAAATGAACTCTTCAACCATTATAGTTTGCCAAAAATAAACCACCAATATAAATAAAGAAATACGATATAGATACAGATTTTTGACCAAAGTCTGATATTCTTGCTTAATTATCTACTTTACGGAATTGTAAAGTTTCACTCCTCTTTAAATCAGGCAAATAAATACAAGTATAACATGCTTTTTCTCGATTACAAAAAAAAACTTGCCCCTATTCCTTGCCCATCAAGATACATAAATTATTAGGGAAAATTTGAATATTATTTTCCCATCATAGCATATCATGGAGTCAGTTGAAGTGAACTTGACCTCGTAATTGATATAATTTAAACACAATTAGTGTGTAGAATTGATAAATTCTATATTTTGGTAATATCATTTGCCAATAAGTTTGAACTGTACATATAAAGTGTTTGTCCAAATATTATTTTTTTTGCACACTTCCTTTGCATGACAGTATTTTAAGGTTTTGAATATGTTTTCATATATATTTCATGAAGATACTCTACCCCGAACAATGTGGCTAACAGTTTTCGGCATTACCAACTTTTTTTGTAATGCTGTATCAAATTTTGACTGCTCCACTACTCAGTAAGCATTATTGAGCCAATTTTGATTCAAAACAGAGTTTTAAATAAACATAGATAAATATGCAATATTTCGTTGTAAATATTCAAATTTTGATTTCAAGGTCATTAATTTCTATCAATTTATCAGTTATATATTTTGATTCAAACTGTTTCAAAATAAAAAAAAACATTTAAATTATTACGTGAAGTTGTTGTCACAAGGCTTCAGTTAAAAAATAAGCGATTTCAAGCATCTTTTCTGACCAGTGGCATCTAGCAACATGATGTTTAGTTTTAGTTAAGTTTGTATATATATCTTATTCGGTAATAATTGTTTTGCTTGCTTGCTCAATATATTTCGTTAATCAACATATGATTGTTCATCAAATTAAAGGTAGCTTTAAAGGTAGTACGTTGCGTTTTTCAAATTAGCACTATACGAACACTTGTAGATCGTATGTAGGCGAGAAATTCAGATTTCTCTCTACCCAACTTGAAAGGAAGCTGAGGACTATGTTACCACCAGAAACAACCGATGAATTGTACTAAGCTTGTGGGATCAGGATAATTACTTATGAACGGTCTTACTGGACATGCAGCGGGCCTATAAATCGTTTTGTTATTATTATTATGTTGTTGTTGTTGTTCTAATTGTTGTCGTGAAAAAATCGCTGTTCTCGCTTTCGCATTTTACTAGTGGGTTGGTATTAGTATATATAGTTTCCTAACTTATTATGGAAAATTTTGCATTCCAATTAGGGATTCTGCCGCTATTATTTTTTATGGTCTCACATGAAACACTGTTAATTGCGGACTTGATGAACATTGTTATTAGTTAGATGACACCAAATTTCTAATTACCACAGGTGGCGCTGTTAAGGACTGTTACTAGCAGTGGTAACCATATTTAGAAATTCTCAACAACCAAAGTTTTTCATGTGGTACAATTTCTACGTTCTTACTAACATTCTGTGAACGCTGCTCTATACGAAGCTCAGCTAATTTTGGAATGGAAAGGCACACCATCATAAGACCAGATAAAACTAATAAACTATAATAAACAAATGAAATTTTTTGTCCGTGGGACCCTTTCTCCTATTATCTACTATACGTTTAATAGGCATACGCACTTTCTTGGCACTGTGGGACGTCATAATAAAAACATTTCTTTTTGTTTTGAAAATATTTTAATTTCCCAATTAAACAATAATTGCACATAATATAATGTAATTTATGCATAGATGGATGTAAATTAAAAAGGTAATATAATTTCAAATATTAAAAATGTCGTAATTGATTTGAAAACTTTTGCATAGATGAATCGGCTTTACAAATTTATTGCTTTTAATGAGAAGGCGTGGTCAGCCGTGGTGAAAACATTTAGTTAGCTCCAGCATCAAGGTAAATATGTTTTTTAATGATGTGTTTGAGGTAGTCCAGCAAAAGTAAAACAACGGAAACCAACACCTCACCCATCTCCAATATTTTTTATCAAATTTAAAAATACACAGATTGATATAACACGGTATGAATGATATGAATATATAGATCGTCGATTTACATGATAGGTGGGCGTTCAGCGTACTTTACAGATGTGTCTTTAGCAAGCCCAGGACCGTACCTTAATAAAAATGAAAATGTTATTTTAAAGTTAGTTTTATTAGTCACTACATGCAAAACCAATTGAGAGCAAACTGGAGCTAGTGTGCTAAAATTCGAGTACATATGTCTGTAATTTTGCTCACTCTCTCTTATTTCCCATAGTTTAATTCAGTAACCATATTATACCAAGGATGTATTAAGAATGGTAAAGTTTTTTACACACAAATTTTTAATGAACGACTTTACTTTTATTTTGCCAATTTTTATCCAAATAATTGTAGTACAAAATCAGAATTGTAACTTTATACCGAGATTAGCTTATTATTCCCCCTACTTCCTACTGCTTCACCCTCTTCAGACAATTTATTGCTATTTTATTACTGGTCGTGGATTAGGCATTCACCAAAATAATTATGGCATTTCCCCCCGCCCCCTTCTGTCTAACTGGCATCTCCCTCGCGAAGATGAATAATAATAAAGCTATCAGTAATTATTTGAGGTATTAAAATTTACTTACCTTACGTTATTCATGATAACTGGCGCTTGCTTTATTTTCTTTTTGTAAGAAGAAGCAACGAGGCAGATTAGAACTGCCATGAACAAGAATACTGCTCCTGATGTAGCAATGATAATGATCGAGGCTGTTTTGACTGAAATCATTTCATTATCACCAGCGTCATCAGTATCGTAGCTATGGTGATGGCTATGAGATGACTGAGACTCGTCCATTTCGTATTCCATGGGATAGTGCAGTGAATTTGGGAGATTCCTTAGATTTTTCACTACTGGATTTGTCAGTTGAGCCGATATTTCGTCACTATTTTCAAAAGGACGCATATCTAGTATAAAAAAAATAATATAGTTTTATAGCCGAGTCTTGTGTTCCTACCTGCTACGTTTTATCAAGCTATGTGTTTATGGTTAGTATCTACAGCAACGGTAGGGATGCAACTCGTAATGCAGGCGTGATGCAACTTATTTGGACAACTTTACTTTGGTAAAAAAGTTAGTTACGAGATTAGAACTTGTTCATGTTTAAGGTAAAAGCTTCTAAAGATTACCTGTAACTTGTACTGAGAAATATGCCACATCATGCTTCAGATACCTTCTATTGTGGAAACTCTCTTTGCTTATGAAGTATCGGTAACCGACAGCATCATTGAAAGACTGAAATTACAACAGAGGAACACTTAATTATATGGACACGAAAGTCGCACATCGGTAAATGTACGGCAAAACCATAAATCATAGAGTCTGCTGAAAAGATCTGAAAAAAGCACGACGGAAGCGTTTGAACGCGACAGAGTAAAAAACAAAAATTTAAAATTGATTGAACATTTGGTTGATATATACGCGTTTTTTTCTCAACCTCAATAATCACCACAACTACAGCAACAAGAATAATAAAAGCAATCTAGCAACATTTCATATCTGAACTTCTTTGAGTGTTGGGCACTTTTTTGGTAAACGATTTACTACGACCCATGATTAAATTCCCCTTCTCTATTTAAATGACTTGCATTTTGTTATTTCAAAGTCTAAATAAGTAAAGTCGCTTTGGTGGCCAATCGAGTCTAGTCATTTTGTTAATTTGGTTAGGTCCATTACTAGAAATTACCTATAACAAACGAATATACACGACACAAAATTATTCAATCCTGAAATAAAATCAGTTCTAAACAATTGAAGTTTGAGGTTTATTAAATGGTAGTAAGAGTCCATTTGCTTTTTACTTCCGGAGTTGGATTGTTCCCTCTTAGATACTGATATTATAAATCAATTGTTCATTTTCGCGGAGCAAAGCGACTTTTATCAACAACAACAATCATCACCACAACAACATGGAAAACAATACGACAACGCCAATTTTACCGATTCAATCTCGAACAAAAAGCAGGGCAATAGAGTTCAAAGTCTCAAGATTACTTGTGTTCAAGTCGTAATTTTACTCCCGAAGTTAGAATTATGAATAAAATTTTGTTTGTTATGTTAAGTTATGTTTGGCTGTTGTATTCGGATAAAACACTATTTTCACATTTTAGCAATTAACCATATTGCAGTCTAACAGCACTATTCGACTTGGTTGACAAATTTCAGTTTACATATGTATACAGGGTGTCTCAAAAGTAAGTATACACTTTTAATTTTGATTTGCTTTTCCAAGTACTCAGCATAGAGCGTTCATTACTTCACAAAGTATGGATAAGTAGGAAAATTTAGGTATTATTTGCATTTTTCATCAACCCACAGAACGACAAAGAGATTAACCCAAGGAATGAGGTGCAAAATTGCTGTTTGGCCAAAAGCAAATAAATAAGTTAGAAAATTTAACGTCTCTTCAAAAGAAAATTTGGTAATAATTCGGCTCTGAATGTTTTCTTCAGAGCGTCCGCTACTTGGGTGTCCTGATTTTTGTGCATCAACTACAGATCCAGTTTCCATAAATTTACGTTGAATCGCATGAATTGTTTGTCGTGTAGTAACCGAATTATACCAAATTCTCTGGTAAAGTGGCGCTCACTTTTCATGCTGATTTATTTTCCTATTGCCCAAAAGCAATATTGCACCTCATTTCGAGGGTTAATCTCTTTGTCACTCTATGGGTTGATGAAAAATGCAAACAATACCCAAATTTTACTCCTTATCCATACCATGTGTTCTAAAGAAATGAACGCTCTTTGATCAGTACATGAAAAGCAAATAAGAATTAAAAGTGAATACATACTTTTGAGACACCCCGTTAAATATAAATATCCCATAGTTTAGCAAACATTTTTTCAGTATCGAACAAATCTTGTCGAAATAAACACGGGCAAAATGTGGTTAAAACTTACCCCCAATCCAGATGGTTTCTGGTAAGCCATGAAAAAAGGAGAAGCCGAGTCGGTGAGGAAATTACTATAATGGTTCATTCTAGATAATGGTTTAGGGCCTTGATCAGTGAGGACAAGTCGAACAAACTGATTGTTGAAAGGCCATTCTAACTCATCGTCATATTTTCCACCAACTAGACGAAAGAAAACGCCAAAGTAGCCCGGGTTTCCAGCGTCGACTGCAGATTGTGTGCCGTTAGGATATATCTAAAACAAATATATATACTAGTTTAAAAACAGCAAATAAAATTTGCTTTTTATTGTTTAAATTTAATTGTTATTTTATTAATTGTCTGTTAAGGGACAGGAGAATGTGACATTATTTAGACAAGACGCTTATTTAAGTTTAATTCTGAACAGTACGGTTTAATATTGTATAATATTGGCAATTTATATTTAAGTAAAATTCAAAATTCTATACAATCATAACATAGTTTAATTTAATGTTAGATGTGTAAATCAGATAAAAAAAAATCTATTCATAGAAGAAGGAAATGATATCTAAAGCCCATAGAGCGTCAATGGTTTTTTATACCTAGAAGGTGTTGATTAAACAAAGCCTTTTTCATTTCTGTTTAGAAGTTAATAGGGTGTTTTATAGCAAGAGGGCGAAATTTTGGAATGAAAACATTATGAAGAAGAAGCTGTTTTGGAGCTGGCTTTCTAATCGAAGTTTACAGCTATATTCACCAAATTGTTTTAATAATGCGGTGAGAGGAGTTAAAAAGGTAGTATAAGTTTTCTTCAATTTCTCAAAACTTGACCTTAGATAACTGGTGGTGGCATTCAATACTTCAATCATTTCTTCTATGGGGAAAAAATGAGAACTCCCATTGGGTAAACAATCTTCACTAGTGAAAAACACATACCATAATTTGAAAAGCATATCCAGGGTTTCCAGTGTACATTATCGGACTCGTAGAATACTCATTAACCTCGTACATATCAGCCATCATGGAATACTGTGGTACGGTGAAGAATGACGTATCGCATTCTTTGTCCAAAACACTGACGTCATCAACGGCAATGATGTCATTATAGAATCCACCTATGACCCAAACAAGACCAATATAAAAAAATTGCGGTATCAAACAATTTTAGCTGAAGTTTTAGTTTGAGGATCCCGTTCCCATCACTACGTTTTTTTTAGCACCGGCCTATATAAAAACTGTGGCTTTCAAAATAACTCGTAATTGCTTCATTTGGACTAGTTCACGGGAGGTGTCATATATATTTATATATATATATAAACAGACGAGTAATACAAGTTTTTGTGAGAGATAATGTTAGAATCGAGGTAGATAAAATGAGAGTTTCTCAGTTATGGAAGAAATTTTCCCCATTGTAACGTACATTTTATATAATTATTTTCTGTATTTTTCCCAATTAGCTTCTTACTGCCAAAAAGTCAACAGTAAACGCCAATCTGACCTTAAAGTATCTCCTAATGCGACGTACCTGTCTTTCCCCAGAAGACAATTCTGAACGATTCTGGAGCTGAAATTGTCATTCGTTCCACGTTCCATTCAACATCATGAGCTCCAATCGATTTGCCACCAAACATTTTTAACGGTTGACCGTACGAAGTGATTTCCCCTGATACGGGGTCAAGCGTGGCGAGGTAAACTCTGAAATATTAATGTAGTTGACTAGTTTATTGCAATTAGATAACTGGTTTAATATTATCAAAAAAAAAAAATTACAAAAAAACACAGAAAATTCTGTAATACTGTATACCAGGGGTTCGCAACCTGCTTGGCCGCGTGCTAAATGTCGTCCATAAGGGAAAATTGTGCGAGTAATTCTAATACCTTTATTTATATCCGAGTCTAAATCATTATCTATGACGTTGCATTGACCTAACAGCTAGCTTGTGAAAAGCGAACAACGCATGCCACAGGAACAATAACCAATATACCTTTGTGCCTGCAACTACAAAAAAGTACATATTAAATTGAAGATGCTGCCCGCGGTTACACTCAGTGATTTGTAGCTGCCGAGGTTTTAATACCTCGTTTTTTATCGTGAAGTTCCCACACCTCGAACACGGATTTGTAGAAACAATCACTAATATGTATAGAGAAAATATCTTTGAAGTAGCGAAATCTATTCGGTTTGACTTTTCTCAGTCAATTTACTATACTAATACGTAGTTACGTTCAACGCTCTAACCACTGGGCAAATCATTGCAAAATTATAATTTTCGGAATGGGTATGAAATGTGAATTAAAGTAAATAATTTTTTACTCAGAAAATAGGTTTGAAATAAGATCGAAGCCACATGTTTTGTAAGAAAAAGGCTGGTTTTGGATATATTATATGAAATATACGACTGACATTGCGATACACTGATCTTGACTGAACTGGAGTCAAAGAGGCCAATTTTATATTTGAGTACTTACGCCATTGAGGCCCCGCTTCCTTCATTTAGGTTTATATAGTGTGAGAATTCGAGACATTGCTTTTCTACAGTAGTTGTATAACGCATCGACTTCATTCCTCCAGAAAGTCCAGGGAATTTGGTCGAGGTATCAAGGTACATGAAGCTACCTGTGTGAAAGAACATTCAGTTGAAATAATATCAATGCACGGATAAAGATGGAAATGGTAAATGACTTATAAAGAAAAAAATATATTAAGAAATGTTGATGTTGCAAGAATAGTACCGGGAATCCTATAAAGTACTAAAACAATCTAGAAAATATTATTAGATAATTTTATCGTGAATTACAATAGGAGCGAAATTGAGGATGAAATTACACTGCAACAGGCTCAGAGGACCCAGGTACCAAAAGCGATGCAGTGCGACCTAAATCACTTTCGTATTTATTATAAAAGTGGAAATTCTATTCATCCCAAATTGTAATATATTTTCTAAACTTTTTTCTGCGAATTCTAATTTTTGTGAGCCAGGTTAGGCCAATTCGAAGTTCACAAAAAAGGTATGTTATAAAGCGGTCAGCTCAGTATTACCAAAAAAATAATATTAATTTCTTTGTTAATTTATAAAAAGTTGAATAATTCTGTTCGTTATTCACTGTGAAAAGTGATAGTGAGAATGAATAGAAAAATAATATGTATGTGTAAAGTTTGGTGTCAAGCGTATTAATAGTACCGAGGTCGTAAATTTCTATCTTACTAGTTATCCTGAAGATGTGCAGGACAAAAATATGTGTCTCAGAGTTTATTTGTCTCTTTGCATTTTTTAAAATGTATGAATTAAATTATCTGGCAGCGATTTTTTATTTATTTTATCGTTTAAGTTAGTTTAGGTCAGTTAGTTTTGAAATCTACCGAAAGATATATACAGGGTGTCCATAAACTCTTTAACATTTTTCAAAAATTGCAAAGAGAATTTATCGATACCATATATTGTTTTGATCCTCACCGATGTAAAAAAATGAAGTAAAAATACTTGAACAAATAATGATTAAAAACAACAAACCTGGTTAAAATACATCGAGAACTGACCTAACTTATTGTACACCCTGTATATACTAAATGCTCCAATATTTCTATAATACACATTACCTTCTCCCTCTGTTCCAAACGTCGAATCAAATTTTGGTAAATACTTAGTTGTTGGACCAGATGCGTCTGACGTTTCTATGTTATGACGTAACCACATGACGTCACTGTTGTCTTCTGAATACCCTCCAGCATTCGTTTTTTCATAATTTACGGTATTACTGATTCTGACGGTATCACCTTGATAAAGAAAATATATATAAATGAATTTAGTAGAAAAAGTGAGCTCGAATGTATATTCGAAAATAAAGAAAGGCCGTTTACAATTTAAATTTTGTTACGAAGTCAGTTTTCAATATAGCCTAACCATGTTGGAAGTATTTTAATCAAAAAATGAGGTATTTTTATCTCATTTAATACATCTGTAACGGACTAAAACAACATATGGTATTGATGAATTCCCTTTGCAATTTTAAAAAGTTTTAAAGACTTTATGGGCACCACATATATTCAAAAACAATGAAAAAACGCACTATAAAGTATAATAGAAACCTCTGATAGACCAAAAGGTAGTGAAATTACACCATATTTTGTAGTTTTGTGCCTCAAAATATTAGTTAGGGTGGCATTGCAAAAGAATGGTGACCGTACATTTGAACCCATGTGTATATCCGCGGGTTCAATCTATATGCGGCTGCTAAAACCCATGGGTATGGGTTAGTATGGGTTTAAATATACGTAAAACAAAAAAAATTCTATAAGTGCAATAGTATGTAGGCGTTATTGTCGTGGGTTCAAATGTACGTGGGTTCTAATGTAATGGCACCCAAAATAATGGATACTAAAAAAGCCAATATGTTTGGAAATCCACATGACGATGGCTATGATGTAGCTAAATGGTAACAAGGTAATGCTAAATAACAAGCTAAATGGTAAAAAATAACAACCAGGAAAATATGGAAAATTAAAAATGTACAAACCCAAGATTTAGTGTAATTATTTAGGTTTCAACTATATATAGCTACCTGAAAACAAGTTACCGAAGTCAGCTTTTGATGAATAAATATGTTGGCTCGGCGGTGTGGCGCATCGTGCTAAGCGTCAGAAATTAGCTCGCCACCGCACCTCAGATTACCCTGCTTCGGTACGCAGGTGCAGGGATAGTTATGTGCGAGAGGATTGCTGGGCACCTCGCCGCCGCAGGGTGGTTCACATAACCGCTAGTCGGTTACGGCCCCTCCACCATCAAGTGCGTGCTTCCGAAAAGAAATAACTGGCTAACTAATTCCATACCCGACATGGACTGGTAACCGACGAGGGGCCGTTGTTTTCAATATGATTAAGTCATCTTATCGGCTTTCCTATTCCCATGAATAAATATGTAAATCCTATCCTATAATAAAGAACAATTTTACTTACTGCAATCATACATTCTTTTGATCTTTGTCACATCACCTGGGCTGAATGATGTAAATCCTAACCTATAATAAAGAACAATTTTACTTACTGCAATCATACATTCTTTTGATCTTTGTCACATCACCTGGGCTGAATGTACTGCGTTGACCAATCACGTCTTGAAACTTTGGGTCACGTGTTCTGATTGTTATATTTCCGTCCTCCCTAGGAAAGAAATATTATTTCATGTTAAAAATCATAAACTGGGTTTGCTGTTAGAAATTGAAATCTAGTAAAAATAGATAGTAACAGTTTGTTATTAAATACCCCCAAGATGGCCTGGTTACCAATCCGTCCTACAATTAAGCCATTTTGTCAGCTTTCCCCTTTTTCAGAATGAATAAGAAATCCTATACTACATGAATATTCAATTCTGAAAATACTTATGATATAAAACATCCAATGTGAAAGATACAACGAGTTTACTTCATTCATAGTGTATATAATTTATAGACGGCAATTTTAATTCGATGACTTGCCAATATTTCAACAAATATGGGCGGCATGGCCTTGCTTTTCATAAGATATATTCATGAATTTCTCCAAACAAAGGGATAGATAAATAATCACTGATATATAGGTAACTTACTATTTAGTTTTTTTAACCTCGTTACAATCCTACCAGATTGATAAATAATGATTAAAATTCTGGTAGCAACACCAACATAGTTAAGCGTCACCATTAGACTATGGGTATGAAAAAGATTGAGGTTTTCAAAAATAGTTGATAAAATATAGAGAATTAAATAATTGTCTTGAGCGTCAACATACTGAAACAACAAGCACATACTCCCTACAACAGACACCCTCATTGCGACATTTACTAACGGTTTATTTCAAATGACGTAAGAAGCTTGTCATGAACGCGCGAGGTCAGTTCATTAATGTAAATAAAACGCGCAATGTGTATTTATCTTATTAGTACCGTTAGTGTTTGCCAACAAGATAATAACTGAAATGGGGGTGTCTGAGGGTTTTAAATCAACATTGCTAGTTTATGTAAATATGTTTGCATAACACTTGCGACAGAAATTTCGCCGACAAATTATATATTTTGAATTTTGTTTGGGACTAAATTGATAGTAAATTAAATTATGGTCAGAATGTATGATATATGTTGCCGTATATTAAGACAACAAAAGCCACGGTTTAATTTTTCCGAGTGTGTTTGTACTACTGTTTTGTATTACAAAATATCGGGATTTTATGAACAAAGAATAAAAGGAAATAATCTTCACCAATCCATGACGTTGGATTAGTTACAAATCGGGGTCGCGTAGGAAAATTGAAAATCAGCTCCTTACTTTAATATACACGATCTACGTAGTAAAGTACGGTCGCTATGGAAAATCGGACCTACTCTAAGGTATTCGCCATTCATAGAAATAGCCAAATAATATTTGACCAACGGTTTCTTACAATCTAACATTTGTACGAGAGGATTGCTGGAATCCTCTACGTCGAAGATTGCTTTTTTCGCTAGCAATTGCTCTTTATCAATTTCCTTTTTAACATTTTCTCTATATACGACCACCATATTTATTGCCATATAAGAGAGTCGGGTTTTCCCAAAACAGAAATAAACTAATTTACTTTATCCTAATTGAACTCAAGCATAGTTTAACAAATTCGCACCAAAAACGATCAATAAGCGTATCTTAGAGACATTTCATTGAGTAGACTTATTGTATTTCTCTCTAAAAATTGATTTCTTTTCATTTACTTACGTGAAGGCCGTTTTTCCATAATGCATCACAGAATCAAAATCATACGCAACTCTCCGGTTATCGGTCTCGTTGTATGGGTAATTATTGAAGTTGTAAGCCATATCTGCAGATATAGATGTAAAATGTGTTAAATATGGAGCAATAGTAAAATAGTAAATTTGAAGAAAACATTTTTTGACAGCAACATAGTCCAATTACGGAATTATATCTTTAATAATTACAGAGTTAAATATCCGAGTCGGGAGTTAAAAATTTAACTGAAGCTATAAAGTTTGCAAATGCCAAAGATCTTCAAGAATAATAACATGTCGTCAAATTTCAACACACAACATCAATTAATTAATCACAACACAACAATAGTTTTTGAAAAATCCCTTATGTACGATTACTCAATATTAAAGGATCGCGTATGATGAAGGCTAATGGTAACCACTGAAATGTCAAGAGTTACGAGATACGTAGGATTATGATGGTGCAATGTGTATCGACCAATGTCGATTGCGTCCTATTCATAAGTTATATGTTTTATACCGAATGTACCCCATAAAAATCATGGATGTTGTTGTTTCGTTTGCGTTGGGAATTTTAAGATCGCCGCTAATTTCACTAATTATAATAATACCAAAATAACAAAATACTTCGCTTTCATTAACGAAATAGGTAATCACGGCCCTCGATCCTTGGGTGTTGTTGATAAACGTATCACCTACTCGAGCCTGCGCGGACCTAAACTGAAGTATAACTCTTACATATTTTATCTATCACGATTATACCTGGTGATATAGCGTCCCACATTATTTCAATATAATCGTCTCTATCAGCTCTTGACTGCTCGTGCCAAACTCCAATTGCATGCATTAACTCGTGCTCAACTGTGGACATATCTTCGCACCCTCTACCTATGGAAACGGTCTGCTCTCCTCCTTGCATTCCGACATAGGACCAGCATCTAAATAAGATAAAAACACGATAATTAAAATTTTTCCATGGGTAATAATTCTCATCCGAACAAAGACCTTGTACAAGCAGCTATTGAAATGTAAGAAGCAAGCTTCAAATTCGAAACGACTGAAATCGTACAGGTTTGGAATTGTCTACCTAATTTATTATACTCTTGGTGGAGTTTCGGCCATTTTGGCCATCATTTCATTTCTGTTTTCTTTATTTTAGTTTTATTACGAGTTTGGGGACTGTCTGTGTTGGTCAAGTGAATATACCCTTGCCCATAGGTTTCCGTCCCTTTATACAACTTGATGTAGAGTAGGAAACAAAAATAGTTACCTCCATATTGGTAGCGCCGATTACCAAATGTCTTAATGTTAGCGTCGCCAAACAATTATTTCAATAGTTTACGACTTAAAACAAATCCAAATAAAAATAAAAGTTTTAGGTATACAAGCCTTAGCTTACTATCATCAGATATTTTTTATATGACTAGCAACGGCAACAATTTACTACCATTCGAACATTATATTTATTACTCGTTGATACCGAGACGAGAACATTAGATCACGCATTTCAATTGAAAAAAACATATCAGTTATGACGATTTTCAGAAAATATAAAAAATGTACTACATCCAATGCGATTGAAAAAATCCTAAACATTTTGCCTCCTCAACATTTATTGTCAATAAAACTGTTGGTGTTTTTGCAATTTTGGTATTCACTGCAATGAGCTACAATAAATTTATTTTGTTTCACTAGCTCCAATCATTCCAGTTGCCAGTAGCCTGTAACGTTGCTCACAGGAGGGAACTCATTGCTTCGAAATTAGTGCAGTGACCTTGTTTCAATACAACAATAGATATAAAACACATTTTATAAAATATACATTTCTTCGACTCAGAAAATGTTTCGCATTACTCACCCCGACAATTGGTCAAATATTAAATAATTTTCTTCGTTAGTTCTGGCAGGGAAAGACAAACAAGTACGTAGTTCATATTCCCGTCTTGCTTCGTCTATAGCTGCTTTGCCCTGTCACAGAGAATTAACATGAATTTTCTTCTAGGTAGAATATAACACTTTCATTATATATCACTGACAATAAAGATTCGACAAGAACAACTTTATATAACAGCAAAGAGTTAGTTGAAGATATATTAAGGGTTAGACAAAAATTCAATCTCAGTTGTTTTGACTTTTTTACTCCTAAAAGGCTCTCTGCGGACGGTCTCTAATGAATTAAAGCTACTATGTTTGCATAGATTAGATTTTTTCGGCTTCGTATTCGCAAACACTATGGCCTATACACTTTCTAAGTCTAATACACTCTATTTTAGATGCGGGGCACAAATTTTAAATCCGAGATATTAAACAAATAATGGCAACCTAAATGGGCCAAAAGCCTCAACCACTAGGTCTCTGCGTAATTTTCTTATCTTTTTTCCTAAATTGATTGATCTTTCGTGAATATTATTATTTTATATGACAAATTATATATTTCCCTCTCTTCAGTTTTGGTACAATTCACCTGAGAAGATATGTTTTCCCTATTGTATCAACTTAAACTTTGAGTCTCGCTCCAATCGGCCTTATCAACGTGAAATAAATACTTCTCCATAATTATATATGTCTAAATAGCTTTTTACGCATTGATTAACGGATACGCGAAACCTTGTCTTGAAAAAACGTTCTTGAAATATTTATTATTCTTACAAACAGCGTTGTTGCATTGGTAAAAGCAACTGGAATTGTCTTGTTTGGCCAGAAGTAATCCTTGTAACCTTCATCATCCACTATAGTATTTCTTGTATCCTTTTGCATCAAGTCACCTTCCTTGAGTTGCCCCAGTACGCCTTCACCTATGAAACAAGAGAGTAACGCGACGTGACAGTAGTGGCGAAGATTTACGAAACAAAGTGTGTTCTTTTCTGTAGAGAGTGCGCTGCCATGATTTATAATGAAACAGCAAAACTTCGCATTAACTATTGAGGGAATAGACTATGAGAAAATTTTTTAAATTTTAAACACGATAGCCCACTGACGAATTTGTCCATTTGAAATATAAAAAAGTTGAAATAGATGGATTATATAATTTGCGCTGAAATACGATTTTTTTCCAGCGGCACTAACGAAAATTTAGCTCTCTTTTTTAATAAATGAATTCTAATAATTAGAACTCTATTACGATTTTTGTGTATTATGATAAGGCGAAAAATAACTATTAATTTCGATTCGACATTTGAAAATTTAACTTTCAAATAAAGTCCCATAAAATATTGAATTCAATAAAAAAAGTATTTACAAATTAAATACTTGTTACAATGTAAACATAATTGCAGTGTATCTAACGTGAACAAGTGACAACAACCTGAAAATTTAACTTTCAAATAAAGTTCCATAAAATATAGAATTTACTAAAATAAGATTTTTTCAATTTAAATACTTGTTAAAATGCAAACATAATTGGAGTTTAGCGAACGTGTACAAGTGACAACAACCTAATAATATTAGAAATCAATTTCTCAAATACTTACGGGCATTGATATCTGGGATGCTCAGAGAAGGTTCGATGTCAAAAATATTCCCCTCAGTATATGTGTCTGCAAAAAAATGTAATATAATATTATATCAAAAATATGTTGTAACAACCTGTGTGTTTGGTACTCCCGTATGTGTAACAGGTTAGGGTTCGGCGATAATTTTATTCCGATTTTTCCTATTTTAATTATATTACGAGTTAGGTAACTGTCTGTGTTACTCAAGTAAATATACCACCTGCCCGTAGGTTTCAGTCCCTTTACACAAATTGATTATTACCTTCATATTGGTATACACAAGTCTAGAGCGACGTGAGTTTTGCGGTATGATTGAACCTTTCAGGCGTCTGTTCAATTAATCACGGATTCTCACTTTAATAATATTTTTTCTGACCAAGATGATCTACGTTACCCTGTATTTTATATATGCACTTTCGTGCTTAATTACGTATATATTGGAATAGATGGAGAAGCTACCAAATAGTTTTCGAATATGCATGTTTTAGTATTAATAGGAAACCAAAATTTCATTCAATAAATTGTGGGAATTCCATTTTGTGAATCTGGATAGTGCACAGAATACATATGAAAGAGGATCGTAGGCAAAAATATGAAAAGGCGTGGGTAGTTCAAAAATTTTAAACTTTTAAGTTAGACCGTACCAGATAGCGGTCAGGCCAGGGGCCGTAAAACACGGTTTTTCAAGGGTCTTGAGGGTCTAAAAAGCGTTTCCGGCTACGGAAAATTGATATGTATGGCACATAAATAAAATTTTGTTTTTGAGGGGTGAGGGGCGTCCGATCTTCAACTCGTCCTTCCGCTTTGGCTACGCCCATGTATTTGTTTCAGAAATGGTTCATATATTTATAGTTTGACAGAGTTTACCCAGTTTTTGCATTCTGTGTGAAATAATGGGTTTGCAGTTGGGAGGGAAAAAAGAATTTGAATATATAAACATTAAAATTTCAAATGAACCAATTTAATATATTCTTGCCTATACGGTCACGGGTTTATTGTAAACGATTTGCTTCTTATTTAAATCCTTATTCTGTACCTGGAATAAGTCCTTCATTGACGCGTCCTTTAACAACGTCCATTGGCGTTAAATTTCTGCTTTGAACCTTAAAATCAAAGAAATTGTTTTTAGCAATGATAAAATGAAAGACGTTAGCTAGTACATATTTTAGGAAGAAGTTCACAGAGATTGACTGCTTCATGGATATACGTTTCAAAAACACACTTTCATCGTTTCGCTAATTGTTGTGTGAGCGTCCACAGGCTCAAATTTCATAAACAATAGTTATAAACATGAGAATCGTTGCTTTTTCAAGCCCGTCATTGGCATATATCTGAAACAAGTAAATATTTTTGTTTTTACGTCAGGGCTGGGCCTTTGATAATTGAACGAGAGGTCACAGAACGTAATATGCTTATCCTGTCTTCTCGTCTTTGGTACCTTATGCAATTTAATTTGAATATTTGGATGTTAATAAACACACCACCGTTCTTATGAGAAGTTCTTGAGCCTTAATTGCAAACGAGGCCTTAAATACGCGATGTTTAATATCTAACGTGCTAAATTTTTTGTAACTAACGTCTGCTTTGTCTACATAATCTATCATTGCATTGGAACACCTATTATGCGGTCGACGAGTCAACATTGTTAGCCTAACGCGTCCATCATCAGACTATGAATTGCATTTTGTAAAAATTCCATTGTTATGTGTTGGTGCTGCATTTAATTAGTTTTTTGGGAAATTTAAATTATATTCTATTATATATCCACCATTTCTGGTAATTTCAGATGAGTTGATAGAGCTTTCTTACCCGAGAAATAATAGCCAGCAATATTGCAAAGTGAGGTAAATTCACCCTCATAATGCGGAGTTCACAAAAGAATAAATATATTCTTAATTTATATATAATAGACCTGTGTTGCCAGTAGTAAAATAAACAAATTTCGACGAAGATTTAGAAAGGGCTATAGAGGCAACCGAAGTACATGTACTCTGTTTTGTGCTTAAAATTCACATTTTATTTCATTATTTGTTTTATAAAGGGTTCGAAACAAATTCTGAACTTACTCTATATAGGTTCAAAAATTGTACCTCGCCCTGTCTGAGTTATTTGCCTTAGACAATGAGGCAAAAATCCGCAATTTTCACATATATAGCTCTGATTTCAACTAGTTTAATTTAATGTTACTCATAAAAAAAAAATGTAACTAAGTAAGTTGTTTACATGCTTTGTTTGTTTACACAAACGAACTGGACCGTAAAGCATAGTCAAAGCTCTCTATATAAAATTTTTCACAGTTCACACTCTAATAAAAATCTGCTTAATTGCTTTCTCACTTCCTAAGTGATTCGGACTCTTGATACTTTCTACAGCATCCTTGCAATATACGCATGCGGATCTATCAGAGCATAGACATAGTTTCTCGTATAACCCCAACTGATACTCACTTTGACATCTGCGATGGTTATCACTTGTCATTCAACCCACTACCTAACCTCTGAACATTATGCACTAATATATGAAGTTTTCTCTTCCAGACTGAATAGGCTCATAGAACACCAGTCACGAATACGTAACTATGTATGAAAGTTATAAGGGAACTTGGATATTGTGTATTGAACTGCAGGTCCTTTCTCCTTGTTATCTTTCTACTTCGGATCCGTATGTGGTACTCACCACAAGGATGCTTGAACGAGATAGTATTAAAGTGATAAGTAAAAATAACATGATCTTTTTTCACGAAATAGTAAGTATATTTGTGAGCTTTCGATAGATCATGGTCTAACTTCTTCAAACAATACAAGATATAATTTTATTAATAATAATAATCAAATTGAAGGTACTAAAAGCGATGATAGTTAGTAATAATTACTTTTTTGTTGTTACGTGATTTTTTGCTAATTTAATTTACCCTATAAAGCGATTAAATTTATTCGCTGATTAATTAAGTTATATCTTGTATTGTTTGAGGAAGTTAGACCATGATCTATCGAAAGTTCACAAATATACTTACTATTTCGTTGAAATAGATCAGGTTATTTTTACTTATGTATAAAAGACTGAAAACTTTTCGTTGCGTCAATCACTAACCAATTCATTAGACACTGTATTAGATAGTGGGTATTGTGGTAATTACGTTGCACCTTCTTATTTAAACAAACCTTTAACAAATTCAAACTAAAGATGGACATTGCCAAATGTATATGTATAGAACCTCTGCAGTCTGAATGAAGAATAATATAAATAGGAAAAATGAAGATATCATATACAATCCATGAAAAAAATCAACACTGACCATCACTATCCACGCTGTACTAACATACAAACATTGCGGTACCTTGTGCTGCCAACCACGCCACATTCCACTAATTAACCCCGTTATATGAAAAGGTAAACATTGTTATCGACAACCAATGCGATGATAATGCACATTTCTTACGTATTGAAATGTAAACCAAAAAATTGATATTTACCAAAATTTCACCATAATTCAACACCTCATTAGGAAGTAGAAATGCTATTCAATGAAAATCATAATAATACAAATCAAATTGAAGGTACTGAAAGCGATGATAATTAGTAATAATTACTTTTTTGTTGTTACGTGATTTTTTGACAATTCAATTTACCCTATAAAGCGATTGAATTTTGCACATTTTCTTCTTTAGGTAGGGTGACATTAATGGATAATTTGTTTCGTTCAATTAAATTTGCGATATTCTCTGCAAAATGACGTAACAATCATGCAGCACGTGTTTACTTTTGAATGGTATGTCAACATGAATTGCGTGTCGAAGTCATTTTCAATCCCTTGACCACACTCGATCATAACAAAAGTTAGTGTATATATATCATGTATAAGTTTCGATTTTGATTTTAAATTTCAATGAAGTAAAATAGGGTTATAGGCGAGTTGGCGTGTTGTAGTGTTATTCCATTAAATCGTGTAACAGCAATCTTTTTATCAAAAGTATCACCACGAATATCGGTCGTAGACCGAAGATTTATCGATCGAAACTGCGGTTTTGATTCATGACTCTATAGTGACACCGCGTGTCCCATCACAATTTATTAATAACTCGCTAATTATGCGACATAATTCATCCAAAATCAATAGGCTTCTGGTCCGAGATATGATGAATGCACATGCATTTGGAGCAGATTCAAACTTGCCTTCTTGAGATATCGCGTTCATCCAACAGACAAACTGACATACAGACATACAGACAAATATCTATCAACATACTTACCGATCTTAAGATCGATAAGTAATAACTCAATTAATATAGCGTTAACCTTCCTTCTATTTGCAAAAAGTTTACATAAAACGATGTTTTCAAAGAAATTTTACCTGCGATATTAAACTCGTGTCTCGCATGACTGATCCTAAAACCCAGGTGTAGTAAACCCAAGGGAGGTGGCTCATTTTGCTTTATTTGTGTTAGGGCAGACAATTTAACCAATGGGTAATTTATTTGAGCATACTTTCAAATAGTTTAATGCAAGTATGTTCAAATCAAAGTTCTGATCCGTAGACTAAAAGTTGAATAAATAGGATAATAAAGTTTGCATAAAATTGCTGGCGCTCTGAGAATATATATTAAATACAAGTTCATTATAGCGACCGAGGTTTCGATAATTAGCGGTTGATACAAATTATTCCAGAGCAATATTTGCAATAAATAACGGCACTTCCGTAGTATGTGTACTATGTTAGGGTTAGGACATAATTTTATTCTGATTTTCGCTATTTTAGTTCTATTACGAGTTCGGGGAATGCTTGTGTTAGCCAAATGAATATACGCCATGCTCATAGGCTCCCGTCCCTTTACACAGCGTGATGTAAAGTAGAAGAATAAAATTAGTTACCTCCATATTGGTACACATACTTCTGGAGCGCCCAAATAACTAATACGTAAAATCTAGAGACCTATTTTGGTCGAGCGCACAGAACAACTATTTAATATTTAAACCAGTGTTTCCCAACCCGAGTCCGAGGTCTCAAATGAGTTCGCGGAGCGTTTGGATGAGTCCGCAACGAGCCAGAAATTCGTGCGAGCCGCAAACGATTTTGCTGAATTTAACTATCAGCCAATTTACGTCGGAATTTACAGAAAACATAAAAAGCAAGTTTATTCTCATAACATTAATCTAGTCAATAATTACTGGTTACTGAGTAGGGCTGGGCATATATTCAAATATTCAACTATTAGAATAGCTATTTATTATTCGAAAATTTGGTAACAGGTGACGCGATTAATCAAACGATTGGATTTCACAACTCACTCACGAATTTTCGACGAAAACACACAAGTCGGCACACGCGTCGATAGATGGTGGCAACCCGAATTTTCCAAATTGAAAAGCGGCAATACAAAACACTAAAATACACCATAAGTTTCGTTTTATGATGGTCCGCCACCGATTAAAAACGCTTTTTAAGACATTGCAAAACGCAAAATTTCGGGTGCTACCGTAGTATACGTATATCAGGGCATCCTACCCTTAGGATTGTTTGCTTTACTGCCTCAACATTGATACGCCGTACAGTCCTGGTAAGTGTTGTACGAACAGCTCAGATTTGTGGAATTCACAAAAATAGGATTCAAAACAAAATATGATCGGGACCTTTACCTCGCATTTTTGTGTCCACGGATTGTCATGATATTTTCCGAGTAGTATTGCTTTTATTTCGCCAACACAATCACAGATTAAAATGATCACAATTAAATTAATAATAAAGCAAGGCGATGAATATTCATTTTTCATCCACTAATATATTTTAAATATATTTTTATTGAGTACTGAATCAAGTTGTACTTTCTGGAAATTTATAAAAGATAGTGGTTTTTTCTAACGACGATAACAAATTTGCAAGATCGCAAAAATATGTAACAAAACTAAATATAATCGGGCAATATAGTCTCACATTATTATGTTCACAGATTGCCGATTGGCATTTTAAAAAAGAAATGCTTTTACCTTGTCGTAAGTCGACGCAACCGCGAGTTACCGTGAACATCATTAAATTAATATAGAAGGACACTGGATTGAATATTGTGCGACAGAAAGCCAATTATACACTAAAAAAGTCGGCTCTTTTTAACGAACGCGTAATTGAGCGAATTTTCGATTCTGGGATTTGTTTTAATTCTGTTGTATTTGATTTTATTGCTTCTTCGCGCACAGGTTGCAATAAACGCACTTTGAGTCCGCAAAAGTTTTCGCGGGTGAGAAAATAGTCCGCGACCAAAAAAGGTTGGGAAACGCTGATTTAAACAATAGTAACTCTCATATCGGACAATTTAAGATTTATCTTAACAGCTGATAGCAGTAATAGAAACTAAGAGGGCGTTTTAGATGTTATTAGTCCATAGCAACCTTTCCGAAGGCGCTTTGAATCTATGTTCATGTTTAAAGATTTAAACACACCTACAAAGAAATTAAGCGTCATCTTGAATATTGAAAAACTTGTTTACAATTATACAAATATGTCATTTGTCATATGTCGAATATGTCATATGTCATTTGTAGGTAATTGCCTAGAAAAAAATTTTGCGGACCCCAAAAATGATTTTTAAAATAAACAAATTTGATTGATATTTAGATTATTAATCAAAACCCAATTGAATATTTCATTCTTTTTCTGATATGGCCTCATAACATTTTCTGCTTAACAGCGCCACATCGTGTTTAATGTATTTTGTTTACTCTCTCACCCCTCGCTGCTTAGCGTTTTCCGATTATCTTGAGTGCACCACCATGAAATTGAAAGTAGACAGCAGGAAAGCTAATCATATTTATTGCTACATTTTTAAAGTCATAGATATCTTGAAGTGGGTTTTGAAGGTTGCGAAAAACGAGAAAAATT